TCCAAACTCAAAATATGTCATTTCCATACCTAAAATACATATTTTACAGTCACTGTTATGCAGATTGATCATAAAGCTAAAAGGCTTCTTACCAGTGGCAATCCTTCACAAAACTTAACATCTACCACAGTTTATCATGGGTAGAATGCAAAATGTTTCAATGTTACAAGCATTTCAGTCAAATGTAATTTATGCATTATTTCAAACCTTTAACCCACAGAGGAAATCAATATGGCAACAGTAGCCCAATTCCATGGGGAAAAAACGCGGACTTGGCAACCCTGCATCCATCAGATTTAACTGATCATGGGTCCAGACAGTAAGGAGAGATGACTGACAGATGCTGAAGGATTTGCTGCTCAGCAGACTGACAGATGTCTGATCTTATAAGATGTGCTTCCTTTACACAGAGTGCGCGTGATCGACAAATCGAAAGTGGAAGTAAACAGCGAGCGCTCATTCATAAGAGATTTAAATACTCTGCATACTGATAGCGGCTCCCTGATGCGCGAAAATTACGATGCAATATTATAATGTTTGCGTGAGCAGGCAGTAATGGTAAGAAATTCAGCAGGAGGGGGATTAAGAAAACAGTCCCGCGCAGGGCTTTAATACAAAAATGCACACGATGAATGGCGACTGTAGAAAGTAAAAGCCGAATCCCGGACATATTGGGCGATTTAGAAATCCCGGCCGGACGCATTTTTTTAGGTCCAAAAAAGAGGACATATGGTCACCCTATCTAATAATAATAATAATAACAATAATAATAAAATAAAGAAAATCTTGATTGTGTCCTGCTCTGAAATGTACTACAAATAAAACAGCATGGCAATAAAATATGCAAACGTCTTTTGTTGTCGGAGTCATATCTGCAGATACAAAACCATCATAAATCTCTGAGATATGCTGCTGATCATATCCTCTCCTGGATAAAAGGATGCTGTAATGCCTGGTTGATGGTGATCCGCTTGGCAGGATCCAGCACCAGAATCTGGTCCAACAGATCTTTGAGCTGAACAACCTTCTTTCGCTGGTCCTCTGGTAGCGCCTGGCGACCCACCATGTCCATCGACAGGTCCTTAGTTGGGTTAATGGTACTCATGACATTGACCTTTTCCTGCAGAGAAAGAGACATAGGTGTAGAGAGGAAGAATAAGAAAAAGGTCAAAAGTCGAATAAAAAATGTCTTTAAGTAGTCTGAAATAATCTATACAGATATTTTTCATAGTTATAAAAGTAGGGCTGCATGATTAATTGGAAAAAAAGAAAAAGAAAATCACAAAATGGCTTGGCAGAGTTGCAAAATCAGTGGTTTTCACTTGGGGTACAGTACAACTGTCCTCCCTTAGATGTAAGAGTGAGAGCGCAACCTGGCGTCTACAGTTGTACTTTATTTTATTTTACAGTACAGTTGTACTGTAAAATAAAATTTTTATTGTATTCTTTTTCTTAAAGGGGTCATATGATGCGATTTCAATTTTTCCTTTCTCTTTGGAGTGTTACAAGCTCTTGGTGCATAAAGAAGATATGTAAAGTTGCAAACACTAAAGTCTCAAAACCAAAGAGATATTCTTTATAAAAGTTATTTTTTTATTTTACAGTAAAATTGCAATAGTGATATTTATCTTTATATTAATATTTTTATTTCATAATAACACTATTATTTAGTAAAAACACTTTAGTAATAACATTTTTATTTAGTAATAGCATTATTATTATTATATAATGAAGCCAAAAGACAAATTTCAAATTGTGGGCAGCTAATTAGCTAACTAATAAACATATAATCATGCTGATATATAAAAATTTTTGGCCAAACTGTGCAGTCCTATAAATAAGCACAGCAAACCTGGAAAAACTCCATAGACTGTATAAAAACATGGATGTAGTGTCTGTGACGTCACTCGTAGGTTTCCGAAGAGCGTTTTTGAAGCTCAAAGGCGGCCGTCGCCATCTTGGCAGCGCGTCACTCCCAGATAATCGAAAATGGGCAAAAAGGCGGGAGCTGTTTGCTGATGCTACGCCATGGGGAGTCTATGGGATTGACTCCCTTTTGCAGCCAGCCTCTAGTGGCCAGTTGACGAATTACAGTTTAAGTCACTTCCTTGAGAGCGGGAGGTTGCCGCTTGAAAAACTCAGAATTTTTTTTTTTATTTTTTTTTTTAATCAGTAATATTACAAACAGATAATTTTTTCCCCCAAATCATGCAGCCCTTACACTTACCCTCTCAGTGACCTTGTCGATCTCTGTATACAAAAAGTTAGAGTTTTGGTCAAAGTGCTGGTCCTTGAACAGACCCTTCCTGATCATCTGTGAATATAAAAAAAATATTTTGTCTATTTTTTTTTTAATATTTTGTTCTAATTTGTAATATCTGATGAATTCTTACTTTATTAGGCAATTTTCCTTTCAGGTCCATGGCAAGTTTTAGCATGTGGTTATTTGTCTTTCCGGGGAAAAGGATTTTTCCTGTGTATAGTTCATAGAGAGTGCAGCCAACAGACCACATATCGATTCCGTAATCATATGACTTTCCGATGACTACAAATAAGAGGAAGAAAAACTCTTTAAGCTTAAAAACAAGCATTGCCCAAGTTCAGATGCATTTATTAAAACTCTTTATTTTCAGGTAACTAAGATGGTTTAATTTAATTTATGTTTTTACTTACTGATCTCAGGTGCCCTGTAGAAGCGGCTGACCAGATATGGTGTTATGTCATTGTCAGCCACATGTGATGCTGAGCCAAAGTCGCACAACTTGAGGATGGTCTTGGATTCGTTCACCTACAGCGTATCAAATACGTTCATATTATAAGAGAGAGATGGAAGTCAGTGTCCAATATTTATGTTACAAGAATTGTGACTCACTAGAATGTTGTCGGGTTTGATGTCAGCATGCAGGATGTTGCAGCGTTTGAGGAGTTTGAGGGCCAGGAAAAGCTGCTGGCTGTACGAACGCACAGCCTTGATGTGTAGCCCAACGTCCTTACCATACTTCCTCAACACCTCCCGCAGGTTCATGCTACAGCCAGAAAACAAGAAAGTTGCTTTAAGAGAAGAACTCGAGCTGCTTTGATGCATGTGAATCTGTTGACTGTAATGTACCTGAGTGGTTCGAACACCAGACACAGATGCTGCTTGTGATAAAAGTGTCTAAAGAGCTGTAAACAGTGGAACTTATCATCTGCATCTGCATCATTCAGTTTCTTCAGAAACTCCAGCTCTTTGAGGCCTGTCTTTTGCCTGTGGGACAAA